CCATCTAGGCTGCCCAAATCACCCCCAACCTGACCAGCACCCCACCGAAACCTTTTCAGAAAGCTCCCCCCTCCTCTTACCCACATTTCAGCCACTGCCTGCTCCCCTCTTGCCCCCCTGGAGCTGGAAAACCCGCTGGTGTGGCCGGAGCCACCACACTCCTGCCCAACCTCGTCCCAGCAGCTCTAATGAGAGGCCACCTCGGCTGCTTTGCCAGGAGAATTAATTGCTTCTGTGCAGTAATTAATATCAAAATGAGAGCACCAAAGCCACAGCTCCCCAGAGGTTTTGGGCGTGCTCGGGGTTATTCCCGTCCTGCTGCAGCTGAAGTGGAGCACAAGCGAGCCGCGGCCAGCACAGGACAGGGACAGAAGCAGTGGCCAGCACAGGACAGGGACACAAGCCCTGTCTCCCTACCTCGGGACATGTGCCACCAGGCTGGACACAGGGAGCCCGGGACAACCCATCCACGCTGGTTGGGAAGGTTAACTGGTCCAAAGGCCAGTAAAACTGGTCTGAAGGCCAGCAAGGGGATCACGAAGGCTCAACCAGGGGAAGGTTTGTTCCCCGGGCCCTGCCTGGGGACATTCCAGGGTGCACGAGCCTGGAGCAGCAGCCAGGAGCAGACGGTGGCTGTCAGGCATGGGGCCAGACCAAAAATCCTCGTGTCCTCCCCGCCTGCCAGCTCCAGCAAGTGCCGGGAGGCAGGCAGCGCACAGGCAGGGCACATGGAGGGAGGCTTTCCCTTCCAGAGACCTTCAGAGGTGGCTCCTGGCTGCATTTCTGGGTGCTGAAGGGGAAATCCCTTCATTTGGGATGCAGATCCCAGCACCTTTGTTGCAGGATGGATGCTTCAGCAGCAGGACTTGCCCTTCGCAGGAGGATGCAGGACTCAGACTGGAGACAGAGCGTGGATGGTGGCAGCCTCACTGGAGGGATCTGGAGCGTGGGGTGCTGATGGAGGGGGCACGGAGGAAGGACGCTATCGGGGATGTTGGTGCAGAGGTGTGTGTGCACAGAGCAAGGATGGAGCTACCCCTCTGGGTCCCCTGAGCAGATCCAGGCTCCACCGCAGCTGGGTGTATCCCCCACCACATCCCCACTGTGCCGTTCCCTTCATCCCTTACCCAGCTCCCACTCCTGCAGATTGGGTGCTGATGGAGGGGGCACGGAGGAAGGACGCTATCGGGGATGTTGGTGCAGAGGTGTGTGTGCACAGAGCAAGGATGGAGCTACCCCTCTGGGTCCCCTGAGCAGATCCAGGCTCCACCGCAGCTGGGTGTATCCCCCACCACATCCCCACTGTGCCGTTCCCTTCATCCCTTACCCAGCTCCCACTCCTGCAGAGTTGATTCACCACCTCCATCATCGCCCTCGAGGGCAGCTCTTCACCACCAGCCTGGGACAGACTCGGCTGGGGAGGAGAGAAATGAGTCAAAGGGCAATTAAACATGAACAGCAGGCGGTCACCGCGGGAGGACAGCTCACAGGGCTCCCTTTGCTCCAAAGAGGGCTTTAATTTATAAAAATAACACAACTCAGAAGGTCATCGGCATTGCTAGACATGACATGCGTGTGTAATTGTCTCCAAACATCCGGTCAGCTCTGTAAACAGCAGGAACCCCAAAACCGGCAGCCAGAGACACCTGAGGAGCAAAGAGGAGGGACCGCGCATGGTGCAACAGACCTGGAGAGCTGCAGGAACCCAGGGAGCCCGGGAACCACTCCAGGCACTGAGATCTCACCCTCAAAATGAAGTGCAGCATTCGCAACAGGATGATTTACCCTCCTCAATGGAAAAAAGATTCAAAGAAAGAGGTCTGAAGCCAGAACTGAGTGGTTTCCTCCACTAGACAGGTGGGGAGGTTTCCAGTGAAGTCCATCGCGTTATAAAATGTGTGAACTGCCCCAGCTCCCAGGCCTGCCCTGCTGATCTCCCTCAGCCCAGCTTTTTATACACCTGGGAGAAGGAAAACGGAGCTATTTTAAACACTAACCTCTTGCAGCAACATCTCCCCTTGGTGATTTCTGCACTGGAGGAGCAAAAAACTATTTCCTAGCAGGACAGCTTATTTCTTCTTCCCAGCAACCCAGCAGCAGAAACCAGAGCAAGAACAAAATGATACTGGCTTGCAAGTCCCTTAACGCTTGCTGCCAAAAGCTGGTGGTGGGAGGGGGATCTACTGGTGATTTATGATATATATTGGAGGGGAAACACAGAAAAGCTGCCTTGAGGTGGAAAAAAATTATATATATATATATTGCACTGACCATAGGAGAAAATACATTTGAACAGGATACATAGGATACACACACTTGGGGGGTTTCATTTCACAGCTCAGTGTCCTGACCTTCCCTGCCAGGCTCATACAGCAGCAAGGAAATAAAACTGGGTCCTGACAAAACCATGGCACCCCAAGGGATCTCCCCTGTGGTCCCCCAAAAGCCTGGCAGCCATCACAGCTCTGACCTCCCTCAGGATCACAACGCCCAGATCCCAAGCCTCTGAAAGAATTTTGTGGGGTGACAGCGACGGTCCCCTCAGAATCAACATGACGATTCAAAGAAAAGAGCGGCTGTGACTTGGAGGGAGCAACCTGCACCCACCTGCTGATCAGAGACCCCAGCAAAGCAGGGAGATGTGTTGCTGCTGCGAGAAAAGAAGGGTGGGGGAGAATTTCCCCCCCTACACTGCCCCCCTAACCCGAACGCTGTGGGGCCAAGCAAGTGGGCAGATCACAAGCACCCACGCAGCTCTGCGGTGTCGGAGACGCTCAGGAGACGAGGCTGGCAGAGGAGTGGGCAGATCACAAGCACCCAGGCAGCTCTGCGGTGTTGGAGACGCTCAGGAGACGAGGCTGGCAGAGGGGAGGGAGGGCAGAGCTGACAAGCAGCCATGCTGGGGGCTGAATCGCCTCCTCCTTGGGTCAGCATCCTCCTCCTGCCTGTAAACAGCCAGGGCCACCCACACCCGAGGACAGTCCCTCACAGGGGCTGGTGGCACCTACCCAGAGCTCACCAGGGCGGCATGAGCAGAGAACCAGGAGAGAGGGAGCATGTGGCTTGAGGGACAGCAGCCTTCGGGGCTCTTCCCATCAAATCTAGCTCAGGGAGAGGGAAGGAGGTGGTGGTGGGGGACTGTGATGAGGAGGTGGGTGCCTGGGGTTGGCCCCAGTCCTGCCAAAGAGACTGTTCTTGGCACCATGGCAGCTTGGGGACGAAGGGGGAAAAGGATGCTCCCGGAGGCAGTTTCTCCCTGCAGTACCAGAGAGGTTTTCTCAAACAACCTGCCCCTTTCCTCACTGCCAAAAGCAGCACCGTTGGGTGTCAGCTGGAAGGAGCCAGCTTCGCGGGCAGCCTTGCAGAGGTGGCTGGTTCCAGGATAACCCAGAAGGAACCCACTGCCCTCCACCCGTGACACCAACGCTTTCAGATGCAGTAGGTTTTGGGTCAGATCTCACTCCACAGGTTAGAGCCACGTATCCAACCCCCCCAACACAGCTGGTAACTCCTGGGAGGTGTGACACAGCCGGGAAGGTGGGGACCTCACTGCTTTCAGCACTTAGCCCTCTCCCCTCCTCAGCACTCTACTCCCTTTGCTGCACATCGCAAGAGCACTACGGTCGGATGCAGTCCTGCACCCACGGCCGGTGCTGGGAGCGTCTGTGCCCATACTGGTGGTTAAGCATGAGGAGGAGAGGGGTGCCCCATGGCTGTACAGCTGCCTGGGAGCTAGCTGGGAGGAGGGGAAGGTTTCCAGTTCTGAGTGGCTCTGTTCCCTACTTGATGTTTTTGAGAAGCGCGGTCCGGGCGTTCACCACGGCTTTGAAGGCGTCCTCGCTGCCGGGAGCCACACATTTATCAGGGTGGAGCAGCACAGCCAGCTTACGATACGCTTTGTTCACTTCATCCCTAGGAAACACAACAGGAGTGAGGGGACCCATGTAACACACAGCCCGGCTCAGCTTTTTGGGGGGCCAGGACCACCCCCTGTGCTCAGCAGACAGTTTTGAACCTTTCCCTTCCTTTGCAGACACTTCTGAACCCTTCCCTTATTGGAAGTAAGGACCTCTGGGCTGTGGAGGTGATGCTGCGGTGAAAGAGCTTGCAGAAAAGCACACAGGGCACTTCTCGGTGTGGCAAGAGCAGAGGATGGGGAGAACTCCTCTCCTGGGGCAGATACAGCCTCTCCACCACGGGACTGTTCAGCTCCCACCATGCCAGACATGTGCCGGCGACACGTGCCGTGGTGTGCTGAGCCTCTGGCACCACGAGAGCAGAAAGCTGGGAGACAAGCGTGGGGGCACACGCACCCTGACTCAGCTTCGCATCAAACCGCCTACGCACTGTGGGCGAAGGCACTGCACATCATTTCAGCCCTTTAAGCCTCGGGTGTCTGGTCCAAGGCAGACATCTCGGCTCCGGCTGCAGGCCGTGGAGAGAGGGGGCCACCTCCTGAGGGAGGCGAGTCCATCCATGATGGTGATCGCAGCACAAACTGCCCTGCAGAGCTGCTGACCTCTCCCTGCGGGTGAGAGGGGGCTGAAGGAGGGGTTAGGTTCAGCATTTCCATTTCAGAGAGCCAACGGGAGGATATGAGAGTCCTGAATCACAGATATTATCCACAAATCCACTCTCCAGTCCCTCCATAAGGAGCACACAAGGGTAATTCTCATGTTTCAGAGAGCAGGAAGCAAGGTACAGCTCTGGGAGGTTTTTTTAGCTGCCCAAGTCATAGAGCAGAACTGGGAGATTCAATCCCCAACCTCTCACACTGCCAGTGATCAGTTCCACCTGGCTAGAGGTCCTCTGAGGCAGACAAGAGAAAATGTATCTTGTGGGAGTACCGTTTCCAGGTGGGAGGGCTGTAACATCAATCCCTTTTTTATAACGTGGGCAGCAGCCTTACAGCAGCCTAAAAGCTTCTCCAGGCGTGAAGAGCAAGGAAAGTAAAACTGGAGCTGCTCCAAACACGTCTGGCAAGCGAGTGACCAGAGATGGCTCAGCAGCCTGGAGGCAGGATGCAGGGCAGCTGGCAGGGCTGAAATCCCGATGGCCATCACTCCCCCCCTTGCCTCCAGCCTGGTTTGTCTGTTAAAAGGGGAAATCTGGTGCTGAGGACCAAGGGTTTCTTTTGCATTGCCACAGTTTTGTGGCTGGATACAAACCACTTGTGCCCAGCTGCTAGATAAAACCAAGGTCAGCTCATCAGCAGGCAGGTCACAAATCAGGGATGTGACCAGCCTGCCGGGTCAGAAAGACAAGGCTGAAGTCTCCCTCACCTTGTGGCTCCAGGTTTGACCCCCAGCATGTCCCAGCTGTCCTTGCTGTTGCGGATTTTGCGGATGGCATCTGCCTGCTCTTTGGTGAAGCCGACTCCCATGCTGGAGGGGGGACGCTTCCCGCCGTTATCACACAGGTCGATGATGGCAGAGTAAAAAGTCTGAGGGCACAGGGAGGAGTTAGTGGGAAGGAACGGTCTCCAAAGGCAGTGGCACTGAATAGGAGACCCCACCACCCACATTTTCACAACTTCTGAATGTTCACTCCCCGCTGCCTGGGCTGTGATACCCCAAATCAGCAGGGATCCAGTTCCTGCAAGGACTGAGGAGGATGCCAGGCCCAAAATTTATCTCAAAGCCACTTCAGCTCAGTGCTAGACCTGAAGAGGTGACAGGGGCATCTCTGCATTGTGTTCCCAGCACAGCAAGAGGGACCATCAGCTTTGGGCAATGCAACGCTGAGGACTGGGAGGACCAATGCTGATCCTGAGCTGAACAGCTACGGCTTTCTCAGGGTGGCATTTCCCTGGAAAAACACCTCTGGGGCAGAGGGACAACAGATTTTGTGGGATCCAGGCAGTTCAGGGGATATTCTACCATCAAATCCTGGCTCTGTGTGGTGTCTGTGCCCTCACCACCTGCATTCCGCCTCACCTGAAACATCTCATTGATTCCTTCTCCTGTTTGCGCCGATGTCTCAAAGTAAAGAAAGCCCCGGCTCTCTGCCCAGAGCCGCCCCTCGCTTTCATCCACGCTGCGGTGCTTGGTGCAGTCGATCTGGATCGGGAGAAAAGGCAGAAATCAGAGCCCAGGCAGGGCGTGCAGTGGCAGCTGAGGAGCACAGCTCCAAGGCTGGTTGTCTAACAGCAGGTAAGGGGCATGTCTGGTTGGAAAGGCCGTTTGCTTATCCTGAAAGGTCAGAGGCAGCGTTGAAAGAAAGCACAGAAAATGCAAGTGAAAAGACATTTGAGAGTTTTTCTAGTCCAGAGACAATGTCACCTCTACTTGATCCCTTCCTGACTGATGTGTGGCCACCATATTCTCAAAAGCACATTGAAATGCAGTCTCCAGTGCTCCTCACACCCATGTCTGGCTCCTAGAAAGACTTCCCTACAACCTAACAACATTTCCCTGACTACAGCTGGAGCTCAGCAGCTTGGGCACATGCTGGGAACACAACGAGCCCTGAGGGCCAGAGATGAGGACAACACCGCAGCCCGGCTCCCCACCACAGCCCACCTTGTTCGCACAGACGACGAAGACGATGTTCTCCATGTTCCCGTGGGGACCCAGCTCCTGCTTCATCTCTGCCAGCCACGTGTCCAGAGCATCAAAAGACTCCTTTTGTCCCACATCATAGACCAGGATGACCCCCTGCGTGTCCTTGTAAAACTCGTTCCTCACCTGTAGAGACAAAGGCAGGGTGCTTGCATGAGTGACAGCCAGGCTGAGAGCACAGGGCCCAGCAGATTTGGGGGAATCACCATTTACCCAGCACCTGTTAGGTTCTGTGATAAAAACCTTACCTTATTACAGAAAAAGGACAGATGGGGAACCCAGATAACACCCAGAGCCATTACAGGAGAGTGATCAGTCCATTAAATATTCATCTCCACACACACAAAAAAGCAGAGAGGCACAACAGCAGACAAGGTGTCAGACCAGCTCCCAGGGAGACTGGAAGTTCTGGGAGTCAACCGAGAGACCTGTTTGCACATGTGTTTCCCTGTGTGAGAGGCAGTGGGGCAGAGCGAGGATCCAGGGCCAGCCGTTGGATAGACTGTGGGTCTAACCCCAGCTGCTCGAGGGATCTGTGTGTGTGGGTGTGTGTAACGGGGTCTGTACCAGCAGCTGGAGCGGGGCTGCAGCCTCGGGGGCTTGTATACCCAGTACCAGCAACTGGGGAGACTGAGGAGCCCCAGGACAGCCACTGGATGAGGGTCTAAGGTCAGCTACAGGACAGATTTTGGAACAGAACAGACTATTTCAGGGGAAGGGACCTACAATGATCACACATCAGACACATACACACATCTGCAAGTATTAAATGCTGAAAATATAAAACCAAACAAAACAGCATAAGTTTTCTGTCTTTTTGCTCTTCAACAAATATTTGCCACATATTTATTCACCAAACGGACAGCTTAAGCCCATTACACTTCCCAAGGACTCAGAGCCTTTCTCTCGTATGGATCGGCTGTGGCATAGCCAGAAAGTCAACACACATCAGCAGCTCATACATCTGCAAGTGATAACTGTGCAACAGACCTCTGCTGACCACAGCTGCATCAGATGAGTGTTTTACAGTCTCCTGTCCCTCCATTTCTTCATGCTGTCAGCTCTGTCCCCCAATCTCCCTGCTGTATTCCAGGCTATTCTTAATTAATTTACATTTTGCTGGTTACTTGTACTGTATCAGGACTTACAAACCCGAGTCAAGACTTGTAGTTCTACACACAGAGACAAATAACAGAAATCCTTGTTGTGCCCAAAACTTTAGAGTGTGCAATAAGTAAATGCTGAGAACACAAGGGAGGAATAAGAGGTTTATGAGGACCCAGATAAATAATAGTCAATAGTCTGCAGTGCTGCACCCAGCTCTGGGGTC